ATCCTGCATGAACAGTGGCGTTGATACATGTAGTTCCGACGTACAAGGAACACGTCTTGCCCCCTTAAATAATGAACAACTTATGAAAACCAAAGTGAGAGGGAGAGAGGGAGAGAAAGAGAGGGGGAGAGAGATGGGGAGGGGGAGTAGGGGAAGGGGGAAATGCAACGTCAGTTTAAAAAGGGGGAGCAATTGCCATCCTCCCCGCTCATCCCCTTTTTCTTTTCATTTTGAACTTCATTGCACCCATTTAGACCGGTGCACCCCATGGAACAAGTGTACCTTCATTGACTGCATCCATACTTAATACCCTTTTTTCTCCAAAAAGGGGGAAAATGCAGATTGCTTGACAGCTGTTTGGAACAATGAGTTCACAAGTCTTTATTATAGCGCATTCTTTTTGCCTCTTATATATTCAGTTTTGGTATAAAAGAACATCATTGTTTGCTCTTTTATTTGTCTGATTCACAATAGAAATATTATTAGTGTCTGATATTCTTTCGCCCTAATTCTGACTTCAATTATCATCCATAGGCGTTCTCCAGGGGCTCTATACAAGTCACATGGTATTTGAATACACGGCAAGATGAGCACAAAACCTCCTCAGAGATGAATTGATATTGTCACATTTAGAAAAGCACGTATCCATTTCATGACTATCTTGTAGTAGCGTTTTTATCAAACTATTCATCTCACCTGCTTTCCGGTTTGACATAGTACGTGCTGCTTTATCATTCCTTCTGGTCATCCCATTTCTTCTCTTTTCTGGTTTTCTTTGTTAATATCATACTCATATAGTAAATATCTCTACTAGTCATTTCAAACATCAAATACCTTCGCTCTTTTCCCATATATAGTTCCTTTTTTGACATAAAAATATACAATATTCATAATTTATTTCAGTCTCTTTTTTCCCTTCTTCCCTGGTTTGTAATAATCACTTTATTACTATTAATTCTACAGAACGTAACACCTTTGTTCTTTCCCAAGCTGTTACCCTTTTGAGGTGCCCGAATATCATTATATTGACAACGAGGTGCCCGTATGTATGTATGTCTTACATAATATGCCCTTATTAAAAATTACATTTCCCGCTTGTTCGCTTCACTCACTCCCCACCTTTTAGAAGCGGGGAAATTCCGGCATCGAGATACCCAAATAATTATGTTCATATTCGTGTATGCTTGGCAGCAGGTGCCCACATACATGTATTTATATCTTATCTAGTATGTTGATTTCAAAATAATTTAGTAACAAAGATTGCATTTTTAGACTCGCTCGAAGAGTTTTAAAGTGACGCACAAGTGATATTTTGTAATGAATTTGGGAGTGAGGTGATGCGAAACTTTTCATTTCTGAAAAGGGTGCCGTGACTGCATGAAAAAAGGGTTGAAAACACTGATCTATATAGGCCTATCTAGCTTTTGGCTCCCCCCTCCCCCTCCCCCTCCCCTCCCTCCCCCCCCCCCCCCCTCCTCTAACACACTCTCTTTCTTTCTCTCTCTCTCTCTCTCTCTCTCTCTCTCTCTCTCTCTCTCTCTCTCTCTCTCTCTCTCTCTCTCTCTCTCTCTGTTATGTTAGCTATTCATTTATTTCATTGGACTTTGCTTGGCGAATTAGGGCTTATGTTCACCGGTAAACACATGTTCACCCCCCCCCCCCCCCCTCTCATGAGACAAGTTAAAGACGACCCGTCACCTGAACAGAAAATATGCTAAACTCATTATAGACCAGGGATGACCAGAATGTCATTGCACCTAGTATTTATAGATATGAGTCTAAATAAAGCTACTTTATCAAGTTAAATTACGTAGTTGGTGATTTCCTGTACGTACGTAATTTACACACTATACGTTTAGAAACCATTGTTGTAACACGAGAAGTTCAAATGACAATAAAGGGCTGATCTATAACTTTATTGTTTTAATAGCACCGGTATTTAAGCTCCCTGCGATGCCCAGGATGATTTCATTCGATCGTTTTCAAGGGTTCTGACTGAAGATCTGCATGAACACAGTTTTGTGAACTAATTGCTGTATAATACAAGCTGGCACTAGCATATAAATCAACATAGGAAACTGGATAACAAATTGTAATTTTGCTGGTAAGTTGACTGGGGCCGGGCTGGCTCCGATACCACTACCAATACCGCCTGAATGTATTGACAGCTAGCTACATTGAACCAATACCAGGAGTTACAAGCTCCTTGATTGTACATGCCGATTTGTAACTTGTTGACGTTGACAAACATGTAGACTAGACTTAGTAGTCTTAGCTTGGCGGTAGGTCTAGGCCGCGGCCTCGCTTAAAATTATCTGTAAAGTAGATCTACTGTACTGACTTGTATCTTTGGCCTAGACTTGACAGAGTCACGAGATCAGATCAAAGTTACATTTTGTAGCTTGAAGGGAAATAGGGAATGAAGAACTGTTTGATATTGTGCAGGAAACATTAAATTTGTTTTTGCATGTGTGTGACTGGTTGAACAGGTGGTTGACTCTAAGTTTAATCTTTGTGGTATTGTTAATTACCCAATTTAGATCGGTTTCCTGAGTTTTCTAATTTTTTTTCCAGATTTTTTTTTGTTCCCCAATTTCTTTTTTCTTCCAGATTTTACCCAGATTTTCCCCTTATTTTCCCATATTTTTTTCTCAATTTTCTTACTCAAAAGGCGGGGAATGTTGTTAGATGCCATTCCCCCCCCCCCCAAAAAAAAACACTTTTTTTTTTCCTCAAGGGGGGGGGGGGGGGAGGGGTGGTTGAAGAAGAAAAGATTTTTTTTTTTTTTTAGTGTTCACTATCACCCTTGTAATTGGAAATTTTATTTAGAATTAGATTTAGAGCTATTGACTCCTGTGGTTATATGTTACTGTTGGTATATTTATTGTTTTCTTTCAATTTAGTATTGACAATTTATTCCCTAGATCCCTGTGTATATTGACATGAGAACGATGCAAATATTGAGAGCATTTGCATTCCACGAGCAAAATCAGAACCTTTTTTGTGAAGGGTTTTGATAAAGGAACACTAATCATGGATTTTAAAGTTGGCAGCTTTACACTGACAAATTACTTGACACAGTGTTTGTTGTGCAAGAACAAATTTAGTCCCTACTTGTAAATTTGCATACTCCCATTATTGCACTAACCTAATTATCATATTGTACATTGTGTATACATTTTCAGGCATTAGAATACTGGATGTATTCTTCACAGTTGCGGGTAATTCTATAGTGGAATATTGTTCTAGCAATCTTCTAATCTACAATGAATATAATCATTTATTGAGTGCAAAAATGTAATTCAGAAATATCACAGTGCAATTATTATCGTATTAGCATGTGAAAGTTTGATATATTGTGTAAAGTGTGTAAAGTATTTTGATTATTGCAATTTTTCATCATTAAAAATGTGATCAGTTAATAAAATGGGAATTTGACTAGTATTGAACACTGCAAAGAAGAATCTTGATTATCCATTTTCAAGTGTATGCAGTATAGTTGAGATTCTCATTACAGACAATTTGAAACACCTGTATCTGGCACAAGAATCATTTTATCAGTCAGTATCTAAATGCATACACTGAATTCATACACTGTTCTAGCATTATGTTCTTTCCGCTAGTGTTGTTACTGGGTAAAGAAAACAAGACTAGTATTGCTACTGGCTTCCTGTCCTTTTCTGAAGCTGGTCATTAACTGCCTACAAATACATCGTCATGGCAACAAAGCTCTAGGCTGTCAAAATATTAGTAGTCATTGTAAAATATTGTCAGTGTTTACTCTCCTTTCAAGCTGTATCAAATTTACGGTAATGGAACAAATACTGGCGTCGCTGTGGTAATAATGCAAAATCATGCTTTCTGTTTGAATTGTACATACATTTGTAGATCTACACCTTCAATTTTTAATTGATGAACAGTGTATTGAAATGGTTTTGAGAGAAAAGAAATTTGTTTGCAAAATATGGAACCATATAGGGAAAGAAATTGGGTCAATATCTAAAAAATAGTGATCATTTTATTACTGTGGACTTGTTGTGTGGGTAAGAAGGTCCTACAAAAGCATGCTGCATACACTTTAAAATTGTGGTTTTTAAACATGGGCCAGAAACAGATAACATTAATTCTCAGAAATCAATTAATATTTGTATTGAATATTTAAAAACAGTTACATTTTTTACATGATTCCGGTAGAATTGTTAAAGCCTAGAAATGAGTAGGAAAAAAAATAGATAAACAGAGCTATGAAAACGTGCCCTTGACATCTTGCTTACAATTTGCAGTTGTGATTCATATCTTGCAGTATATGTGATTTATAGCAGGTTTTTATTTATTACCTTTTTTGTGTGCGCATTTGCTGGTCTTAAAAGCCCATCTACTGTATGATAGATACTTCTGTGTGATAGATAATTCAAGAATTAATGAATTACTAAATAATTCAAACCAGTTTCACAGTTCTATTAAATTCTTACAGAGAAACAAATTTATCAAATGAAACAAATGTAGACATATATGTGTATCAATAAAGACTAAAAGTATTTTTCATGATTTTATTTTATTTATATAACCTGAAGCTTCTCTTATGTTATGTATGATACTCACCTTGGACATGATTATTATTGTTTTGCAGTTGTCTCTTTTACCTTGCCATGAGCTATGAATATTGTTTTGAAGGATAAATATGGAGTTGATGGCAACTAATCTTCTATTTATAGTGTATATCATACAAAGCTTAAATTATATTGCTAAGTACAAGAAGATAATAATGAATATACAAATGGGGATCTTTGTTTTTATCAAGGTCTGAATTCATTATAAAAGAAATGTTCATTTGGAGTTTTGTGCCTTCCTGCCTACAATATCCTCTTAAATCATGAATACATCTCATTTTAATATTTTATAAAATATGAACAAACTTACTAAAAGAAAATAGTTGTAACTTTAAATTGAAATGAGGTGATTAATTTGTGGATATATCTATTTATTTGTTCATCTCATAGATTGCCTACTACTGCTGGAAGCTGTAAGGATCGCCCCACTGAGGGCAGCAAACATCATTGGATGGTGTCGAATAAAGGAATGATGTCAACCCTGAGATTGTAATGAGCATCGTTGTTGGCAGGCAAGCTAAGGCAGGCTGGACGGCTAGCTTCATTTGAGTAGGCTCACCATAACGACGGACAGGCAAGGCAAGCTGGAGGGCATGTACAGTATGCAGCGAGAGGGAGAGAGAGCCTGAGAGCTTCAAAGAGCTTGAATGTCAACATGACAACCGGCTGGTACAGCTTTTCAATTCCTGCCACCTCCAGATGAATGCGCATTGACAAGACATTGTGTGAAGCTGCATTCAGTAATTAAAAAACAAACGGACATATATGCAGGGATATCCAGTTACCGTGGACTTACTTTATTTTCAAAGATCGAGGTGGAGGATGACTTCATAAGTGATGACAAGTGGAATTTACCAGTCGTAAGCTTGGGACTGCTTAGCATGCAGAGTTATGTAAACGGTGATTACAGTGTGTGTTTTTGATAGCATTGACGTTGGATTGTGAATGAGATAAGCTTCCACCTCACGGGGGATGTATACTTTCATCTGAGTTAGATGTGAAAAGAGTCACCACAATGAAGCACATTGGTCACTATATGTGTTCTAGGACCCGATGGGCAAGAGTCCTGTGCCTGTGTTCGGTCTTTGTGATGGGTGGAGTCTACCATTTCTTCTTTAACTTTGAACAAGCGTTTAGGAACTCTCCCGGTGAGATCCCGCGGCTAAAGAGCGGCGATGGTCAGATAAACGGTGATGGAATATTGGAACATTCGGTGCGGATGAGGCACTTATTACAGACAAACCTTACAACGGACCCAACAACGGACCAAGGAATGCAATCGGTTACAGACGCGGGAAATGCGTCCAATAATACTCAACCAAATTCTGGTATCTATCCCAGAGACCTTTTTACGTTACAACAGAAGAAAGATGGCGCCATTGTACTTCACGTGATTTTAATGATCTACATGTTCGTTGCACTTGCCATTGTCTGTGACGAATTTTTTGTGCCTGCTCTGAGCGTCATCACGGACAAGCTCGACTTGTCGGACGATGTGGCTGGTGCCACGTTCATGGCCGCGGGAGGAAGCGCCCCCGAACTTTTCACCAGCCTCATCGGGGTGTTCTTCGCGCGGAGCGATGTCGGTGTGGGGACAATCGTCGGTTCCGCAGTCTTCAACATCCTTTTTGTGATTGGGATGTGTGCGACGTTCAGTAAAGGAGTTCTTTCATTAACATGGTGGCCTCTGTTCAGAGATTGTTTCTTTTATTCCCTCAGTCTATCCATGTTACTATACTCGTTTTCAGACACACGCATAGAGTGGTATGAGTCCTTGTGCCTACTTATGATATACATTTTGTATGTACTCTTCATGAAGTTCAATGTTCCCATCGAGCGCTGGGTCAAGTCCCGACTACTCCGGAAAAAAGTTAGTGCAATTAAAGAGGTAAGTTTTTTAACTGTCTGCCATTCCTAATTTTTTCTTTCTGGTACATACAAATATTTCTTTTATGAGTAAATTCATGTTAAAATTTCTACATGTTCGACTTTAAGTTTGAATACCTGTTTGAATATGGTTTCTACCGACCAGAGATAGCTTAAAGAGAAGGTTGAGTAAATTTACTTGAACACTCACAGTAAGTACCTAACGTACATCCCAGATTCAAACTTTGATTGAACCTGTGAGCAAAAGAACTTATTTTGTCTTGAAACAAAATGATGTGATTAAAGGAGCTTTGCAATTCTAGTCCACTTGTCATTCGGTGAAAGGTTCAAAATTAATTACATGTGCACCTTTAAAGTTATTTCTCTCTCTCTCTCTCTCTCTCTCTCTCTCTTTCTCCCTCTCTTTCTCTCTTTCTTCCTCTCTTTCTTCCTCTTGCACTCTATTTCTCTTTCTCCCTCTCATGCTCTCTCTCTCTTTGTCTGTCTGTCTCTCTTTCACTTCCCCCACCCCCTCTCTCTCTCTCTCTCTCTCTCTCCTACTCTCTCTTTCTCTCTTTCTCCCTCTCTTTCTCTCTTTCTTCCACTCGCGCTCTCTTTCTCTCTGTATGTCTGTCTTTTTCTTTCTCCCCTTGTGCTCTCTCCCTCACTCTCTCTCTCTTTCTCTCTTTCTCTCTGTGTGTCTCTTTCTCTTTCTCTCCCTCTCTTTCTTTTATCATCTTTTATGACTTTACTTACATCAGTTCTTTCCATATTCAAATGCATGCAATCCTTTCATTTTAAAGTATATATGTACATTTTGAATGGTCAATTGGTCATCGGCACTAAAATTGCTCTACAACTGTAGATCAATTGTACAACACATGCACCAGAGACAACTGCTCTGCACTTTCTCAGGATACTGCAATTCAAACTTCAAAGTTCAAACCCTGACCCGATGTGACACCTGACCCTATACCTACCCCTAATGTAGAACCTGATTGCAGTCCAGGCACTATAACACCATATCGTTCATGAATTAAAGCCTAGTGCAAATGTTGATGGACCATACATGGGATCACCTTTAGATCTCTAGATGCAAAGCTGTCATGTCTGGTGTTGAAGGGGAGCTAGAAGGGCATTAAATCTGTGTGAAATGATATAAGTTAACACCCTTCTGGCTCCAAACAGATGGTGTATCCTTCGGTAGTGTGTTGTACATGGTCCTGATGAATCCACTCCCGTTTATTTCTTATTTAAAGATATTTTATAATCAGAAATCTACATTCCACCATCATGACAAATTATCAATTTTTATTAGTTTGAAGCAATCACAGCATTTATTCATATTATAATAAACAGTATACACATCCTAATAATTATCTCATAAAGTTATAATGAAGAAAATAATAACTGCAAAATATGTGCCTTAGTCTTATTTAGGAAACATTGCACCACAAGCAAACTCAAATGTCTTCAACTTTTCATCTACATTGTCAATTTCAACATTTAATGTACTCTGCTAATAAACCAATCATAAACGACTACAGGTAAACATCTTTTCACCAAAAGAGAATAAGGAAATATGTAGATATTGATAGCAATGCTTGTATACCACAGGTAAACTGTAATCAAGTAATCAGGGTATCATTTAGAATTTATCTTATTTAGGAAAATTCATCAATCATAACATACAGTACAAGAATCATTCTAACTTCTACATGTAGAAATAAAATAAAATAAAAGCACTATAACCTTAATAAAACACTTCAAGAAATATTTTCTTAGAAATACTATCACATGTAGTTGATCAAATGGTATGAAATTTGTAAAGTATAGAGTTAGGACTCAGCCATATCTACTCTGTTCTGCATAATAATAATGATAAACCATTCTTATATAGCGCATATCACAAAAATAAATTGAAGTCCCTATGCGCTCATTAAAAAGAAAAAAAAGGGATAATAGCAGACATGAGGGAAGAGAAGAGAAAGAATAACATGCCACTAAGCATGAATTAAATATCTGTAGTTTATCACTTCACTCTTAAAATTGCAACAGAGTGAAGCTTGCATCTATAATGCATTGTTTCTACGAGGATGCTAGCCATATTTTACTATTTCATTAGGTATACTCATTAATTTACTATTAATAGCATGTACCCGTCGGATTGGTGTATGCAAAGTGCATTTCTGTCGTGACTATTTGGAAAAGTGCACACCGGTTTCAATTGGCCATTGTTGTAATTACCTGAAAAATTAATGTATACCTGATCTTTGCTGATACACATACAAGTAGTAAGTTGACTTTTCAGCATATTAAAAACAAATTAATTCATTTTATTTTTCAACAATTTGTTTAGTCGATGGACAGGTGCATTTGAAGCAGTTGCTTTAGATCTTTGACTTATATCAACCATGAATTTTTTTGTTGTTGTTTTGCTAACATTGTTTTGATGGTCTGCTTGTTGAGGCTTTTTAGTAGAGCATTGAAAAAGGATGCCTTGTGACAAGCATTGTCTTCCTGTCTTGTCGCGAAAATGCTGCTCAAAATGTCTTGAAGTGACTAAAGACGTGCAGTCCATAAAGCAAAACTTCCTGCCTGCATTATTAAATTAATCTAGGGTTTCCTGTTTATCTCTTTAGTACTTGAAACACACGTAGCTGAAGATTTCACTTAGCCTCTGAAACACAAATGTAAAAGATAATGTTATGTACCAAAATATATGTTCATTTACTAGTAGTAGTAGTAGTAGAATGGTTTTAATGGTAGCCTGAAAGCTAAATTACATTGCAAGTTTTACAAGCTCAGTTTTAAAAAGCATTTCAACAAAACTTAGATATAGACAAATAATACACAGTAAAATAGATCATAACTTATACATATTCAATACTTGCAAACAAATTGATGATACAAATAGGATAAATTTGTCATTATTATTATTTTTGTAATCATTGTTACATATAAGTGAGGAATATTCATATTTTAAAATAGAAATTGAGGCTGATTTATCGAGTTATAACAAGTAATTACTGAAGATTTGTTTAATTTCGAACCGTAATAAAATGTTAATTGAATGTGTATTCATAATGCTACACAATATATGAGGATTCATCATAGAAACATGATTAAACAATACTGAAAGAGAGAGAAAGTGTCAGGGAGAGAAACCAAATTAGTAATTGAAATCTATGTCATAATGTTTGACAGTCAAATTATTCAAAATTTGCTTTACGGTAGGCCAATGTACCGGTACATGTAATTTCCTACTTACATAACTAAATAGAAAAGCACCGGAATTAAATTTTATTGTAGGGATAATACTTGACCCTTCAAGCTAGACTTTTATACATATTAAATAGTGGTTTCTTGAGGGGGGGGGGGGTGTTTCACAAAGATGCTATTAGAACTTATCTCTAAGTTGGACTTACAATTATGGAAAGCCGTTAGCATCTTTTGAAATATTTTGTAAAAGTTATTTTAAAAGGCACAAAATGTTGATTCAAATCATTCATATTGTCAAGGAGATTTCGTGTTCTTAATGTCGGTGGAATTTCTAAAAAAAGTCTAAAATACTCCAATCTTCGCTTTTGAGTATATTTTATTTTAAGGCTACAAATGGCTCTCCATAATGTTTAAGTCCAACTTGAAGTTACGTTTGACTTAGGATCTTTGTGAAGCACCCCCTGGTCTGTGTACCATTTGCATTTGTTTGTATAAATCATGCATATATACATGTTAGTATACGTATTTACACTGATGTGAGGATATTTTGAAGAGTCTGTATGACTATGTTTTTCTTGGTTAATTTTAGCATGTAAGAAATTGCACCCAAATGAATGCACGTCTGGATGACCAGAGCATTGGTGTAGAAAACTCTAAAGAAGGGAAATGAATTAAAAGGTAGAGCGAATCGAGGAGAGGAAAGTGAGAAGCCTGAAGGCAAAAGAGCTGGAGACTCATATGAAAGCTGCATTTTGAGTTTGCAAATGAGACGGGAAAGCTAGGCAGTCGGTTTCATTCTCCAAGCTTGCCGATGGTGGTTGCATGCACGACGTGCCGGCCGTGAAAGAAAACACGACGTCGGTAATATGAGCGGTTTTGATCACTGTAGGAAAACAAAACAATCCCTCGCGTTGGGAGGATTTGAATTGATGATAAGGCGTTAGATATACTGGGAGAGGGTCTTCTTTCACTAAAGTCAGATCCGATGCGTGTTTGGGGTTAATCTTGTTTGGTTGCGTAAATCCAGAGTTCCCCCCCCCCCTCTTCTTCTTCTTTTTTAACTCTGTTTTTCATATTAATCTTGTTGAAAGGTTTCACCTTGATGCTATTTATCCTCTACTCTTTTGACAAATGTTGGAAGATAATTTTGTTTCTTGTTTAATTATACTATTACTACTTGTTTCTATTTCACTCCTTTCACGCTGCTCCTATGTTAATAATTTCTGTAAGAATCTTTCTATTTGGCTACCCCATATCTCCCTCTGTCTTCTCTCTCTCTCTCTCTCTCTCTCTTTTCTCTCTCTCTCTCTCTCTCTCTCTCCCTCTTCTCTCTCTCTCTCTTTCTTTCTCTCTCCCTGTCTGTATGTGTGTATACTGGTCTAAATGCAGTCTTTTATTGCAAGGAAGTCATTAAATTTGTTGAGACACACGGACAAAGAAACAAACCCAGAAATTGAGATTAATTTTGGATGATTAGACACGCCTTATTTCCTGACTAGCTGTAAGATTGATTTTTTAGGGTTTTGAGCCACTCTCACCATAAATTCATATTCAATGTGGATTTTAATTAAACAATCTCTTGTATTTCAAATAATCAATACTTAATTGTGGTTGAGACTTGTTACAATGTACATCACAAGGCTAGATCATGCTTTTGTGTCATGCACAAATTGGCATACAAAGTACATAATTCTCTTTGAATAAAACAATTCCTTATTGTATTTGTTTGTTTATGAAACAATTTAAGCAGGCAGGGCATTTTAAAAGTCATTATCGGCATTTTAAAAATCCTCATCGTCA